TTTTCTTTAAATTACAAAATATTTGTGAAGTTAAATAAGTTAAATGTTATACACTTTAGCCGTTTTTTCTTTTTATATTTTATATATTTTTTGGATTTCTAAAAACACCAATAAACGGGGCGAAAATTTGTTGCGTGTGTGTCACGATTTTGATACTGTTCTCACATAATTTGTGCATAAATCAACAGAGGATTTGGGTTTGGGCAGGTTGTCTTGAACTAAATGATTTACCTTCTTCATGTTAAGCTCTAAATATAAATATACGGAAAAGGTGCATATGTGAATTTTTTTTTTCTAGCACATAATCTATTGTTCACTAAATAATATTTGAGGGAGAAATAGAGATAAGGTTAATGTGGAATAGAGTTTGTCTTTTTAAGTGAAAAACTATTTTATAATCTATCTATCTTCTTCTATATAATATTGCCGAACTTAATAGTAGTGTTAGTAGAAAGAGTCGCAGCACTTTTTTTAGAAGAAAACGTGTATGCAAATATCTAACGTACGTAATTAAGTAATGATAAAACATACTGAAACATTTTTCAAGTTTTATAGTTTGACTTTGACTTAAAAATTGCATTGCGTCAACCTCTCCTTAATTTTTGATCTACAGCAATTCCGTTAAAAACAATTTTTATATATTTTTAAAATTTCGATATTTGATGTGTCAGCATGGCCGAGTGGTTAGCGCGCTAAGCTTCTGAACGTAATAGTCGTGGTTCAAATTTACCACCAGCGATTTTTTTCTTTAAATTACAAAATATTTGTGAAGTTAAATAAGTTAAATGTTATACACTTTAGCCGTTTTTTCTTTTTATATTTTATATATTTTTTGGATTTCTAAAAACACCAATAAACGGGGCGAAAATTTGTTGCGTGTGTGTCACGATTTTGATACTGTTCTCACATAATTGGTCCTAATAAGCTACGGATAGTCTTAAAAAAAAAGGTCCTAAAACCTAATAAAGAAAAAATTTGATAAAACCGTCCTGCTACTCCACATGGTATTGCAGTCGAGGCAGGGAAAAAAAAAACAATTAAAAGGTTTTTTGTTATATTTAATTTTTTGCTATAAATATAGCCAGATTAAAAAAAATGTATTGAGATTTTTTAGGCGCGGATTTGAAGCCTTGCACAGCGAATCTGATGACAGCGCACTTAACTTGTGAGCTATCAAAGTTATGCATGTAGTTAGGCGCTTCAACATTTTTTTAAAAATGTAAAATGAAAACAAAATAAATACCATAAGTAAGAGCTAAATAATAACGTTTAAAAATTACCAAACTTTTTGTTATAATATTATTAATTGTTATAATATTATTAATTCTTCAACTTTTAAACCACAAAATTTATAATTTATTTTTTTGCATGACTTTTGACGCTTTAAGCGACTAACGTTTTAAAGAATTGCATTACCGTTTCCGTCTAATACAAAGATAACTATAAAAGACCGTTATTATTCAAAACTAAGCATATAATAATAATAAATATAGTAAACTATTGAATATGGCTAGGACGCGACCATAAACCATGGTCCATGGCTGGTCTAAATGTAGAAAGTAGTTTAGTTCAGAATTTTTTTTAAAAAAAATAAATAAACGGGGTTTAATAAGCTATATACGTATGCGGAAAAAGTGCGTATGTTAAAGTTTTTTTTTGCTCTCAAAGCAAATTTTTTTGATGAATTTTTTTCCACCGTTTACTAAAAAATATTGAAGTAAATAAGGAACAAGTAAAGAAATGATTGGCGTGGAATAAATAAATAAAGAAGTAGAAGAAAAGACCTGTATTTACCAATACGGACAGCTAGATTAAGAAAATAAGGGAAAAGGTTTGTGTGGAATAGAATTACAAAGACCCGTATTTTTACGGGTCAATCCAGCTAGTATCTAAGGTTTGTGACACTTACCTGTTTCTATCTTTAATTTTAACAATATCATATATTTTAAAAAACGGATTAAATCAGTTTGTGCAGAAAAATATAAAATAAAATATTGAAAAACAGTTTAAAAAATCAAAAATAAATTTATTATAAATAGCACAAAAGTTAGCAAATACACTTGAAGTAAACACGACAAAGGAGCAGGTACGACAAAAACAAATGTTATAAATTAAGTTTATGTACAACATTTGTGCTTTGTTTTGGTTAATTATTGACAAAATATCACTTTTTCTGATAAAAATAACTAAACAAAATTACCTAATAACATTCTAATAGAAACACAAAAATAACTAATAAATTTTTTTTTAAGACATATAAAACCAAATAGGTACTTTTAGCATAAATAAACCCAGGACAATCAGAAAGTCGTATGCTTTATTAAAATTAAAAAAAAAATCAACATAACAACAATAGAGTCTTCAATAAACTCTAATGCTGTCATAGATAACTCTTTTGAATTATGTTAACCAATCAAAAGTGTAAGAAAAATAAGCAACCCCTGCAACCTGAAATCGTTACAATAATTTAATAATCTAGGATAGCCAAAAAAAAAAAAAAAATTGCACAAAAACCATTTAAAATGTCACCCGCAAAAATGTAAACATGGAGTGAAGGATATAAGATATTTTCTGAATAATAATAAAAAACAAAAATTTTGCATGTGAAAATTAAAACAAAGCTGAGTTTTTGATTTAAATTAATTTTTTTTAATTTAATTTAAAAATTTATTTATAGTTGATTGTATACAGTAATTTATAAATATACTAATTAAAATCAACACAATAAACAATATAGACAATACAAACAAACAAAAATATTGTAAAAAATCCATAAAAAATCAGTAACAACCTAATTAATTAAAATATCATGTATAAAATAAAAAAAATCTTAAAAAGAAAAAAAATAACTTCATAAATATTGTAAAAAGAAAAAATAACTTCGCAAATATGTAAAAAGAATATAAATTCGTAAAAATGACATGATTAGTAATAATAATACAAAATTTAAGTTTTACAAATTTTATAAAAATATTTTTCCCATTCCAATGTAAAATATTATTTTTTTAACACCTGGAGTCTTTTTAAACACATGGTTTTATTGTCAAGGGAATTCCAGAGCGAGGTGGCTCTATATAAGATATTATTTGTATTTTTATAATAAGAGCCTTTGGGCCGTAGCATCAATTTATTGCAAAATCTAAGTTGAAATAGTAAAGTTTTCTATATATATATACTATATCTTTATAAATAAGCCCTTCATAAATTCAGGGTTTAAACCATTAAGGGATTTAAAAACTTAAATCATTAAAAATCTCAAATTTTGAAGATGGATTCTTGGGTTATTATCTAATTTTAACATTTCATCCAAAGACAAATCAAATTTTTTATGGACTATGTGAAGTGCTTTTCTATGAACTTTTTTATAAGGTTGTCATTGTATTTTGAGCAAAACATCCAAATCAAACTGATGAAAAATTTTATAAAATATAAACATTAAATAAAAAAGTGGCTTGTTTATAAGATAGAAAACTTTTTATTCGAGAAAGGGCAAAGCACTTACTATTAGCTTTTCCGCATAGAGCTTTAATGTGATCAGTAATAAATGTAACATAATATAGCATAAAAGTTCCTTGATAATAGTAGTAATATGAAAATCAGCGGATCAATAAAATATTAATAAATACTGTAATAAGACTAACTAAATACTGAAATAAGTCCAGATAAATTTTAGCCAAAATATATTGAAAGTCGCTAGTTTAAAAAAACTGCACTTGTATATTTGTATATTAATATTTCAGACTTGTACAAAATTTTAGATATCGTACCAAATTTTTGAACATCCTGTCATTTTCTTTAGCTGGGTTATAAATTAAAACTGAAAAATTATTTAAGATCAATTAAATTTTATTTAGAATAACATTATATTTTAAATAAAAGAAATTGTGAAACAAGATATAAAACACTTTTATATCTTATTTAAATCTTATTCAATATTTTCTTACAAATTAAATGCTCATAATTCTTTTTCAGACAAAATTAAAAAAAAAGTGGATACAGAGGATACATTAAAACTAGCTTTTAAACTATCGTTTTAAATCATTATCAATGTATTTAATTATTCATATACATTTCTTAATATATATACTACTTAAATATTATATATGTTACTTAAAATTGATTGCATTATTTAGAATCACTCTATTACATACATACATACATACATACATACATACATACATACATACATACATACATACATACATACATACATACATACATACATACATACATACATACATACATACATACATACATACATACATACATACATACATACATATATACATATATATATATATATATATATATATATATATATATATATATATATATATATATATATATATATATATATATATATATATATATATATATATATATATAAATGTATATATATATATATATATATATATATATATATATATATATATATATATATATATAATATACATATACATATATACATATACATATATACATATATATATATGCATATACACATATACATATATATATATACATACATATATATATATATACATATACATATACACATATACATATATATATATACATACATATATATATATATATATATATATATATATATATATATATATATATATATATATATATATATATATATATATATATATATATATATATATATATATATATATATATATATAATATATATATATATATATATATATATATATATATATATATATATATATATATATATATATATATATATATATATATGTGTCTGTGCTGTTTATGTCATTCAGTAGAGTCTTGTGTTGTTCGTAACCAGCATAAAAGATTTATCTCTAAACTACACCAAGCCAGCCCACTTCTTTTTTACACTCACCCTATTATCTCACTACTTACTACTAACATAACTTTGACCATCTAAATAAGATGTAAAAACTTTAATGAACTAACATAAAATACACCAATAAAAAAATATTTTTCAATCAAAAACATATCAAAACCTGGCCATCAACAAAGTCACCATTTTCTGTCAGAGAATAATTTAAAGAAAACTTTTTTATGTAGTTTCCTGATTCATATCCAAAACCTTGAAGTGCAATACCATTAACAGTTGTTACTTTTTCAAATTGAACCTAAACATATAAAAATAAGTTCAAACAAAACAAGTAATTATAATATGCAGTATATTAAAAAAGTATAATAATAGTAGTAATATATTATGGTTAAAATAGTATTTCTTCATATCTGCCTTTTGTTTTTCTAAACTTATACTGGACATATAATTAGCTCAAAATATATTTAAACTAAATTAGTTTTTACCAAATTTTACTTTTCTCAATCTAATAGTTTTTACCAAATTTTATCTTTCTTAAAAAAAGTCACTTTATTTTGTATTTTATAAAAAAATATATTTATATTATAAATAAATTGATTAAAAATATAATATTTTTGAACACATTTTTGGGGTTAGTGTATTTGTTACAAAAATAAAAATGTTATATGAAAGAATATTACATATGACTTTTATAATTTGATTAAATAATAGGAATCAAATTTAAAAAACGTTGTATTGATATCTAATAAAATGGATTAAAATTTTACACATAATTAAAAAGCTTTTTTTTTCTAATAGCAACATATCCAAAAAACTTATAGATACAGTGAATAAAACTTATTCAAAACGATAAAACTGTTTAACTATAAAAATTAAATTATAGGAAATAATTAAAGAGTAATAACTTATGTAACAACATAAAGTGTGGTAAATTTTAATAAAAGAAGATAAAGAAGCCATAAGATTTTAATATGAATTATGGAGCGAATTGTGAATAATCGAGAATTAGGATATCTGGAAATGGATTTCGGTCTTAACATTTTTAGTTTTTTAAAAACGGTAAACTGTTTTATTTTATATCACAAAGCTCAATAGTAGTTATTCACTACTTATATTAATCTAGAAATCTTATTATAAAACCATTTTGTTACTATTACCACTATTAAATATTATGGTTTAAAAATATTAAAACTCATTTGATTAATCTTCAAGTAAATTTAGAGAAAAAAGCTTACAATGTAATATATAAAATGAAACAAATGTTTAAAGAAATTTAGCAGTGATCAAATATTTTAAATGATAGAGATATCTTTTTATATCTTTTTTTAATTGCTCTTAACACTCTCAAACGCAAATATTTATAAAAAATCAAAGACAGAACAGTTTTAAAACATAAAAACTAATTATAACCACTTAAATTTAATTTAAAAAAAACAACTCTGATAACATATTTTAAAATACATCTTTTTATCATTATTTTTATCATCAATTAATTCATATTTAACTAAAAACATTAAACATTAGACTTTAACTAAAAACATTAAACATTTAACTAAAAACATTAAACATAAAGTGTGGTAAATTTTAATAAAAGAAGATAAGTAGTTACTCACTACATATATCAAACTAGAAATTATGATATAAAATCGTATTATAAAACCATTTTGTTATTATTATTACTATCAAATATTATTGTTTAAAAATATTAAAATTCATTTGATTAATTTTTAAATAAAACTAGAGAAAAAAGCTTACAGTGCAATGTAACATTAAAAATGAAACAAATGCAATTCACAACAGTTTAAAGAAATTTAGCAGTGATCAAATATTTTAAATAATAGAAATTGCTAATCCTTTATATCTTTTTTTTAAATGTTCTTAACTCTCAAACGCAAATATTTATAAAAAATCAAAGGCAGAACAGTTTTAAAACATATAAAAAACTAATTGTAACCGCTTATATTTAATTAATTAACATTTTAACAATTTTAAAATATATCTTTTTATCATTATTTTTATTATCAATTAATTCTTATTTACCTAAAAACATTAAACATTAAATAAAAATGTTTAGTTAGTTAACTTTTATCAAAACTTCCAAATTCAATATTGCTAGTTTCTAGGGCTTCCAGTTTGAACATGCTCAGGTTCAAACATTCAAACTTTTGCTGTTTTTTAAGGGGTCGAAAGTCTAATTTTTTTTCTCTTAAAGTTGAAACATGTGTATATATCAAAATTAGATTCTTTATTTTTTTTTTTTAACAACTAAACCACAATCTTTTTTAAACTGACTTTTTCAGACTTTTTTAGTTTTCATTACTCTTTTGTCGTGTATTTAAATTTGAATGAAAAACTGTTGTAAAAATGCTACTTGTTCTAAGAAGCTAATGCCAATTGGAAGTTAATGCTTAAGCTCATGTTTAAACAAGTATTTCAACTTGGATGTTAAATGAGCAATGACTGATAATTTAGAAACTAAATTAACTGGAGAAGAACATTCCAATAACACTGCAGGAACAGACCTAGAAGCTTTTTATTATTTTTAGTTATAATTTAAAAAAAAAGAATGCTGCTAAAAAGAAATGATTAAGTTTTCAATTTTTTCAGAGTTTTCATAGAGTAATTATTTAAATCTGGTTGTGTAAGTTTTTTATGCTGTGCAAATTAGTTTTGTAAAATTGTCAACCATTATGAAATATATAACTAAACTTTTTACAGTCATTTAGGCAGTAAAAACCGGTTATTTAAAATGTAAAAAGAAAAAATAATAATTTTTTTAGAATATTAAAGAAAGTTAATAAAAGTAAAAAAAAAACAATAAAAAAGGATAGTAAAATATTTTAGTAAATATATTAGAATAACTGTATGTATTATAAAATTTTATTTTTAAAATCATTCCAACATAATAAACAAAACCATTATGTATTGTAGTTATATTATGAAAAATTAAAATCTCTTCATAATAGTTGAAATTGCTTTTTATGGAAAAACTACAGCTTTTGTAAAATCTCCTCTGAAAGTTTATAAAACAACTCTCCGGTAGGAAAGTTTGTACTGTTTAATATTTTTCATAGGGGTGGAAGGAGAGAGGAATAAAAACATGACGGAACATTTATTACAAGAGACCGGCTTAGAATGTATAAGTGATATGGACAAGAAAGAACACCAACATTAAATACTTATCTGCAGTGCTCTATGATAAGAGTATTAGATCTTCTTGAAGCACTTTAAGAACAAGGGAAAAAAATATTATAAATTTATCAAGTTAAATAAAATAATTGTTCTGATTTCACAACAATTTACTCTAATACTACAACTTTAATAATAATAAATTAAAAGTTTTTTTTTAATTTTTTTATTGTTAACTCACCTACTTAAGGCTGAGAAGGCCACTACAGACAAGGAGGCTGCTTATTTGTGGTAATAACCCTCTCTCAACTCTATAACTCTGAAACACAAAGCTTGACGAACAAGGCTGCTACGCGGAGAAACGAGTTGAGCGTGGTACTACCAGGGACATCTCGCTTATGAAGCGAGCGCTCTACCACTACACCACTACCGCAGTTAAACAATAAATCTCCGCCTAAGTCATCTCTATTTTACTAATTTAAAAACTTAGTTTTTTGATAAAAATTTATTGATACCGGGTAACCTTGCTAGTAATAATAATAGTAATATAATAATGATAATATAATAAATAATATAGTAATAACAGTAATATAACAATAATAATAATAATAATAATAATAGCATTATAAAAAAATGTTAGTAGCATTGACCTTTATAGGTTTATCCAAAATATATTTTTGACGGAGTCTAACTTGTTCAAATTCCGAGATTATATATAAGCCCAGTTAATTTTAATATTTTAATGAATAATTTTTTTAAAAAATGATTTAGATGCATGCAGCTAATTTTGATAATATGATAACATTGATAATAACAATAAAATCTTCATGTATTTGTAAAAAAATTGTTAACAATAAATTGCTAGTTTTAAAATGCATAGTTTCTAAACAATTAGTTTTAGTTTCTGTACTTAACAAGAGCAAAACCTTAAATTATAATATTCAGGCTAAACTCTTGGGTTTAAACGTTTAGGCAGCCCTGGTGCAGTGATCGAGTCCTTGGTCAGAACCAGGAGGTTTGATGTTAACTCAAGTTAAATGCTCCTTTGCAATACTTACTGACTAGCATGACTTTTAAGCTGTGTAAAGATAATTATTGTTTGAAGGCAATGCTTACAAACAAACATTTTGTTAAAAAGGCTTTCCCAATATTAAACATGTTATATTTAACATAAAATATTTCATACTATTTACAATAAAACAGTTTTTATGAATAATAATTATTTTATCTCAAAAAATGTTTTTTCTCTTTTAAAAACTCTATTAGGATAGTTTTGAATATAGTAAATGCCATATTTCCTTTGTTCTTAGATTCTTTTTTTTAAAGAGATGATAAAAAATTCTTAATTAAAACTTTTTAATTTAAAGCAAGAAATTTTTAAAATTTAAATAAGTTCATTCGATCAAAATGACTGGCAAATGTGATGGCATTCTATATGATGTAATGGGTACTTGCATATATAAATAATCAGATAAAAAAAATGACATCAGTGTAACAAAGTTTGTGCAAAAGAATGAGGAGGATGCAAACCTTGGATTGCTGGTTAGTGACACAATTACATTGCACTATATTAAAAAAAGTATATATATATATATATAATGTAGACCTAAAAAATGAATAGAAATTTATATAAATATTAAATGGGAAAACAGTATTATATATTTAGGTAATGTAAGAGGGGAATCTGTTTTCAAAACACATCTGCAGGCTTTGATAACAAAGTGTTATGCCATCTGAATTTTATGTATGAAATGGCAATTTCACCTACGTTATGCAAGCCTTCCCAAGAAATGTGTGCGGTTTTTCGTCTTGTATAACCACACACAAGTAATTTATTTTAGACAACTTGGTTACATTTGCAAGTTTTGTAATATTAATTGTGGAAAAAGTTTTAAAAACAAAAAAATCCAAAACTAACAAAATAGGAAATATAAAGAAATTTAAATAGAAAAAATTAATAAAAAGAAATTATTAATTTAAATTAAACTTTTGGATTGTTTTTTTTTGTTTCTTTAGAGTGGTTGTTATATTCAGCAACAAAATTAAATTAGGCGAAGCAAAAAAAAAAAACAAAAAAAAAAAAAACAGTTTAAAGTCTACAATTAAAAGAATGATTTTCCAAAAAGTTATAAAAAATAAAACAATAAATTTACAACTACAAAAGTAATA